CCTATCCGATGAAGGAGTTGGTTTGCGTGGGTAGCCTTCGTTTTGTGAGTAAAGGGCTTTGGAACGGTTTGTTTACAAATGCTGATGGGCCCTTTTCTATTGTTGATCCAGAATTGTCAAATAATTTTCCATAGGTCTTTTTAACAATTCTACTCTGAACTCACACAATTGCCTTTGAGTTCTACACCCAAAAATGGGATGTAAGATTTGTTTACAATAATGAGGGATTCATTATCGCAGGGTGCTAGTGGAGACCGCATGACCAGAGGATGAGATATACTGAATACTGCGGTCCAATGCAAGAAAATGGAGACCGAAAATGTGTAGTGCACCACGAATGGTGCGATTATCAGACCTGTAATTTCTCCATGCTTCGGAACATGGAAAGGCAAAAAGCGAATAAGAAGCGATCATAGTACGATTACTCGATTTTGTTTGCTTTTTCTGCTGAACGGGAATTGGAGAGAATTGTGGTAAGTGTGTGCGTCGTTCTACAAAGTTATTAATAAAATGCTTGCTTGTATAGTTGAAAGCGTAGACAGAAGAAGATATCAAAAAGATAAAAAATCGTTGCATCGTCTGCAAGGTCAACTAATATTATTCGCTGGGGTATTCGTTGTGGAGGATGATAGAATAAGCAACTAACATTCAATGTACACTGGAGTCGCTTTTTACGCGGTTTTTTTTACGCGGTTTTTTTACGCGGTTTTTTTTACGCGGTTTTTTTTTACACGGTTTTTTTTACGCGGTTAGTGCCGCTGAGTCGCAATTTACGCGGTACGTTTTTAACGATTTCTCAATAATGATACAACCTATCGACTTGATTCCAATCACATTATCCGTTTCAAGCTATAGTTCATCGAATGGCATACTTTTAAAAAACAAATCACAATTTTTGGTGTAAATACAGAAATTTTTAAAATATGTCTTTATGAACCATAACATGCTATAGTAACGAATGGCATCAAAATCCGATTTATAAAAAATACTTAAGCATGTGAAAAATCAAAATCTCGGTAGTTTTTTTTACATGGTTTTTTTTACGCAGCACGTATCCCCCGCGTAAAAAGCGACTCCAGTGTAATATATTTTTGATTTGCGTGCAGTTAAAGCTCTCTGTTAGAGCTGATCCCAAAACATCCTGGGAAATTTTCAATGAACTACCTCTTGATTTCATTGGTCTTCTCAAATTTCCTATTGAATTTTCAACGAAATTCTCTTAAGTTCTTCAAAGTGATATATCCTGAAAATCTAGTCCAAGGTTCTCAACACTTGTTCAAGATCCAGAATCTTATTTTTCCCTGTTTTTCATCGAAATTATCATTTCCAGCATTGTTCCGGTTTTTAAGATTTCCCGGTTTACTGGTTACTCTATAATACCTGTTATACTGAAATGAATATCAACTCATAAATCGATAAATTTAGGTCCACTCTCCAAGCAAAGTTGTCTAAAGGCGTAGCATAATTCCGGCTCAGAAAGGAAGAGGAACGGAGATTCCAATAAAAATTAATACTTTTAAGATTTTAAACCATTTTTTCTAAAACTTAAGATCATATTTTGGTAAAAAAATCTATACAATTCTTGACAATGAATAAAAATAATAATTTTGCGATAACGTGTCATCATTTTCAAGGGGGTGGTCGAGAAATTATGTCCCTGAGTGTCAGAGAGGATAGGAGGGTTTATTTTGGGAAAATTGAACGCTACAATGCTGTTTAGAAACCAAGCCTTTCTGGACGATAAAAAATAGTACAGAACTCTCTCTCTATGTGATGCTATTGATCGTATTAAATTCCTCGTTTTTGTATGTCTTTATTATCGACATTTTCAGCCGCAGGCTGGTTCATCTCCGAATTCCTCTACTAGTAATATCTGGAAAATCTGGTTATTCAGTTTTTAACGCTAATCTACCTAAAAATATGCGGCACCGGTGATGTAGTGGTAAGCGTAATTACATCTCACCCCAGCAGGCCTGGGTTCAATCCCAGTCGGCACTGCCGGGATGTTGTGAGGCATAACATCTCTGATCACGCCTTCCTTCGGATGGGAAGTAAAGCCGTTGGTCCCCGGTTCATGAGTTGATGGGTCGATAGGAAGGTTCCAGGTGTGGGAGCTGCCTTCCTGGCGTCGGTAGCATTGATGCTCAGCACGGAAAACAAGATTGACGGAAAACAAAACAAAGGAAAAAAATTATAAAATAAAATAAACTAAATTTGGGGAAATGGATGTACTGTCGGCTTAAATGCCACTAATTTGGGCACATACATAAATTCTGCAATTGACATTAGTACCGTCCCAATGACGCGTTCATCTAGATAAAATTGATAAGTAGCAGATTTTTAGCGATGGGTCCAATCTTAGATCCATATGCCAACATAAGAGCCATTTCCTCTTGTTATTATTTTGATATCATGATATCAATTTTAGTAATCTGAATGTTTTGAAATCTATTGGTTGATATCAAGATTTAAAATAAAAAAAATGTTAATCCTAAAGTGTGAATGGTGCCGTTTTAAACTACAGAACTGGAAATAATCAAACTACAAGAAAGTATACAATGAATCGCTTTTGCCATTATAGACAAATAACAAAAGTTAAAATATGACGAACGATTGAAGTTTATTAGATCCAATAGCATAGAAATAGACGATGTGATTTTTTAAGTATAGAGTTTCGATTTCATGACAAATTCTAGTGGAATTATATGCAATAAAGTAATAGGACACACGAATTGTGTAAAAAATTAGGCTACGATGACTCTTTTATTATTATGAATGATCAATTCCTTCGCATCGAACATATCAGGCATAACATTTGATAACGGCACAAAAGCATTTGTAAACAAACTTTCTAAGGCCCTTTACTCGCGAATCAAAGTTCGCCCCGGCGTAGTGGTTAGCATCCATACCTCTCACGCCAAAGTCACGAGTTCAAATCTCACCCCCGGATAAGTCACGAATGACCCAAGAGCGTTAAAGTGACTATAATAATAAAAAAAAAAAAAAATAAAAAAAAAATATCGATTTGTAGATTCAATTCGAAGGTAGATCAAAATGAATAAATGTTGTAAAACAAAACTGTAAAAATCGTAATTGTCTTGATGTAAATGTGATGTTCAAAAAGAAAACATGATTTACTCGTAAGAAGAAATAATAATAATAATGTAGATTTCAGCGATAAATTTGGATTTTTTATTTTTTTTCCTTTGGTTTGTTTTTTCCGTCGATCTTGTTTTCCGTGCTGAGCACCAATGCTACCGACGTGCCAGGAAGGCAGCTCCCACACCTGGACCCTACCTATCGACCCATCAACTCATGAACCGGGGACCAACGGCTTTACTTCCCATCCGAAGGAAGGCATGATCAGAGATGTTATGCCTCAGAACATCTCGGCGGCGCCGACTGGGATTGAACCCAGGCCTGCTGGGGTGAGAGGTAATCACGCTTACCACTACACCACCGGCACCGTTGGATTTTCTTTTTATAAAATATATTATATATTTTAGAAACATCAAAATAATATCAAAATACAAATTCAACCGAAATAATAATAAAAAAAAAAACCAACCCAAGAATGTTATCAACATGGCTTAAAAAACAAAATTAGATATCATTTTGATAGTATTCTGATATCCAAGTAGCTTATTCTGCTATCAAAGTATTATTTGCTATTGATATAATATTTTGGTATCATAAATTCAAGAGCTAAATTCAATCTGATAGCATATCATATCAATCAAACTAATAGCAGTTTTTGATTCCTGATGAATGTGGGCGTCGTAGTGGAATACTTGTACAAAGAAAGAGAGAATGATTAGTAATTTCCATTTAATTACACTACCTTATTTGCTCATCCTTGACAGATACGCGTATTTCGTCTACAATGTGAAAAACTTCTTCAGTGTCTTGTACTAATACTCGACTTTTAGGGTCGAGTCCAGTATTATTACAAGACACTGAAGAAGTCAAAACATTGTAGGCGAAACACGTGTATCTGTCAAGGATAAGCAAATAAGGTAATGGAATTAAATGGAAATTTATGTATTTATTATACAGGCGGAATGGAAAAATCATCTTTTGGATGTCATACTTGAATCACTACAAACGAGGATCTCAATTACCCATGGTGAACATTCCACAGAACGAATGATGATAAAATGATTGACTAATCGAAAGGCAGGCTTTTCCAAAAAGATAGCGAACAATGTTTGCCAATTTTTGACCATCAATACTATGTTTCAAATGTAAAGTGACTCATTGAACACCACCTTGAGCGCGATTGCCAATTCTTCGTAAGCGCATGGACACCCCCGTCTAGCAGAGCCTGTCGAACGGTGATGGCAATGATGACACTTCCAACGACCCCCACCATTGCCTCTTTGTTGTTGGTATGAGGAGTGAAATTTCATTACCCCGAGCTTGCCTCCACTGACTGCCCCAGTTGACCGTTTCTGTGTTTCGAATCGACCTCGGGATAGAAGCGCACTATAGTTCGAATTTTAAATAGATACAGCTACCCATAGGACAGGTGCGATTCTGCTAACTTCTACTGAGGCACCATCATCGCGATCTAGTGCTTATTCCGGAAGGTTGGCTCTTTGCACCGTGCTCGAACTCGCTTTCTCCCTCTATACAGCGCCACGTCGTCGTCCTCAAGCGTTGAAAATTTCGTCTGGGTGCGGTTTTTCTCCCACGGTGGTGCGATAATGCCTTCCGGACAGCGGCAGTAGCAGCGTTGTTTAGAATCTAGAACAAGTAGCACCGATTTACTGTAGCTAGGTTGGTAGGTACCTACATAGAACTCGTGGCGTGGATTAACTTTGTGTGCATTTCCCCTCCCTCCCTCCGAGTGGGTGTATATGTGTGTGTGTGTGTCTGTGTGGTTGCACTATTCTGAGCACTCTAGGAAATAGGTTAGATTATCTGCTGTGTAAGTTACCAGCGTCATTAGAGAGCATTTAATGGGTTCTTACAAACGATTAAAAGATCGTCATTTAATTTTACAAAAATGTTTGCATCAAAGCCACGTAGGATCCGGCGGTTCGTAGGATCTGTAGGGAAAAGAGGAAACTCATGTTAATTGTATTGAGGTTTGCAAATGGGAGCAACAATCGATGTCTACACGGGTACACATGGGCAGATTGCCATTGTGAGTTAGCTCACTACGACGTACTGCCGATTCGATTAATTGAGCGCTATGTCCTATCAATTACCGTGGAAAATGTAACGACCGAAGCTTCAAAGAAGGGCACGTCGACACGGGACGGCTTCTGTGCTCGGAGCATCATCATCTGGATAATCTGCCGTACGTTCTTTCGATACCGGTACCAGGGAAAGTCGTAAGCAGTCTGGCTTAGTTTCTCGCTCTGCAATGCAATCAATCAGCAAAGAATTACACCGAAGTCCTATAGCCTTCCGGTTCAACTGTGGGCGGATTTCGAGCAATTAGCGTGCGTCCCCCATACTTACCTCTTCCATTAGTCGCGTTCCACCGTAAGAGTAGACGTATATCTCCGTAATAATACCCAGCGAATACCAGACAAAGATGAGCTTGTTGAGTCCTTCCGCCTAAATTGGGTCAATAAATGTGTGCTCCGTTTTAATCACCGAACCAACGTACCTTTCTCGGAAAAATGTGCCTACAACTTACGTTCATCACAGTGATGCAGGCCAGACCAATCTTGATGGCTGCGATGGTGAAGCTGGCGAACACGTTTTGCAAAAACAGCGCTGACATTTCCACGGTGATACCAATCGTCCGGTTGTGACGTTGGGCGATTAGTTTCAACTGTTCGAAGATTCGGTCATTTTCCTCGTCGGTGGCCTGTGCGAAGGAATCCTTTCCGCCGCCGGATTCCCCCAAGGCTTCCAGTTCCTGCTGCACGATGCGATACTGGCTCGAGATGAGCAAACAAACACCGATGAATAGACCATCACCGCCGGCCATCATAAAGATGGGTGGATAGGCAATGTAGCACATGATGATGTAGGTTATCTCGAACACGGGCGATTTGCAGTAGTCGAATGGGAGCCTGGAAGGATGTTTTGGCCATCGAGAGTGAAATGGTTATTGCTGTCGTCGATGGTGTATGCTAATTGGAAGCGGATTTGTTTTGCTTTGAAAAGTTAGTCTTTGCGAGTATGTGTCGTTCGTAGTTGTCTTTTTAGGCAAAGAACTGGAAATTTGGGACGCACTCAATTTGGTGTTTAATTTTCTGGGGGTTTCACAAGGGAAATCGATGTGCGACAATCTACGTTCAATTCTACCGGATTGAATGATAGCAAATTATATTGCTCAGCACACCACTCTGAAATGTTCACCAGTGATAGATAAGAAGTATTGAAGTATGAAAAAAATCATTTTAAAACATGTAATTACCAGAAATGTGCTTGCTTTTTCTTGATTTTCCATGCCAATTTATTATGAATTACGCGATGTCCGGAAAAATCCGAAACCTTCCGGGAAAATTAACTACCTGGAATTTTTTTTTTATTTATTTTTTTTTTAATAAATCGTACACTCTACCTGTGAGCACCATTTCATAACACGATGAGACCCTTCGACCCAAACTTGGCCAATAGTTTAAAAAATTCCCAAATGAAATATTTGGTGTCACCAGGTCGATTCGATTGAACAAGGCTTGTTCGCAACAAGATCTGGACATCCTTAAACAAAAACATCTGCCGAAATATTTCATTAACGAGTGAAATATTTTGTAGAGTGGTTTTTTTGAAAATACAACCTATGTTTACATTAGAAGAGCAATTGTGTACGACCGCAATGAAAAACCGGATCTCTCGATCAGAAAACATGTCAAAAAGCTTGATTGTCCTGCAAACACTATTCACAGCATTTTTAAATCGATCGATACTCGTTTAAGAGCAGCTAAGCAGACGGGAAGCGGAACAAAAACGGATTTGAGGAATTACCAGAAGGACGTGAAGGTGCAACAAATATTACGGAGAAGACTAGATTTTTCGGTACGCACTGTTGCTGCGAGGTTCAGGGACAATTTGCAAACATCCGGAAAATTTTACGAGCTTCAGGGGATCTACAAGAACTTCAAGGAAGTTTTACGAAATCTAGGGAACAAACAACAGTAAAGATCTGTGAACTTCAAAGAAACTCGGATAATTTTAGGGCTCTCATCCAACAATTTCAGTTGCACATTAGCTTATACAGCTAATTTTAACCTGTATAAGCTATTTGGCAGCTAAAATTGTTTGTAGGGAACTACTTCTGCATGTTGTGCGTTCTGCATGTTCTTTGAATTTAAGTAGAATTCTAGTAAAGTTCTGCAAACTTTAGAAGCATTTTATGAACTTCAGGATATTTTTGCAATCAAATAAATTCTGCAAACTCCAGGAAAGTTGTATGAACTTCAATGAAAATCTCCGAACTCAAGTAAAATTTTATGAACTTCAATAAAGTTTATCGAACCCCAGGAAACTCTTGGAAACTCCAGAGAATCATAGAAGGTTCAACATTTTGCAGAGAAGTTCATTTAACTTCAGGAAAGTTCCACAAACTTCAGGAAAGTACTGCCTTTAAAAGGCGTACTCCGAACTTCATAGAAACTCTTCAAATGTTAAGAACAGTACTGCATACTTCAGGGAAAACTTCATTCTACAGAAAAGTTCTACAATCTTCAGGAAAATTCTGCAAACTGCAAGGACGTTTTGAAAGCGTTATAGAAGTGTCCTTATGGTAAGTACTATGAATTTCAATAGAGTTCTGTGAACTGTAGCAAAATTATATGAACGTAGCTCTGCAAACCCCAGCAGTATGGTCGAAAATGCGATAAAATAGATATCTCCAAAACCGCACACTCTAGAGGTTTGACAGCTTCGAGAGAGTTTCCTTTTGCTGCTGGTGTTCTTTTGTTTAAATAAAAAATTAAATATTTTTTATTTTTAAGGTTTTAAGGAATACTTGCTTCTACAAAGTTATAGATAGTATAATTTCAAACCTACTTTGCTAAAAAAATCAATCTATGAACATTTTTCGAATTTTAGATAAAGTGGCTCTGATAAAACCGTATTTTTTTTTTGCTCTAGCTAGCGAAGGTCTTTGTGAACTATACTGGGGGTGCAAATCAAAAACTGCGTGACGAAATACTGTCAGTTTTTAAACACTTATATCTTGGCTATTTATTGATGGATTTCAGGTATTTTCACACCATTTGATTCATATTTTATGTAAGATTTGATTGGATTAAATATTAAAGTGCTTCATCATAAGTAAAATATTCAAAATTGATCAAATTTTTTGGCCGCAATCAACCAATCACGTGCTTGCTTGCTGTGACTATCCAGAGGACAGAAGGAGAGACGAGCCGATTGCAAGGTTATAAAAGTTGGAGGGTGGTGTACAAGACACGACCGCATTGTTGACGTAGGACTACGAAATTTTTGTTCGATTTTCTAGTTTGTTGTTTCGGATATTATTCTGCAATTAAGTGAATTTCATAACTCAACTCTTTTGTAGAAAGTTGTGGTGGCCCTGAATTGTGATGGTTTCTTTACGGCAAACTTTGCTATAATCACTGGACCTCGTGTTTATTCGCGTTTACATATCACTTGCGCAGGAAATCAGTTTGGCACGGCATTTGTGACCAGCATACCTTCCAGTAGCATGAAACAGGTCATAATTTGCCCAAATCTGTCTATAAATTTGTTTGTTTTGCATTTGCTTATAGCAAAATACTGAACTTTTCGGGAACATTCACGCCAAAGAACTCACCAACACACTTTTTGTTACATGCCTCATGCATGTCTTCTTTTCCTTTATTTAACGTCGGTCTCTGTTCCACAATCTAGTGCCAATCACCGACGGACATCGATTTTACATACATACAGTTTGTGAAGTCGTCCACAAATTTATTTCCATTTCGTCAAGCCAGTGTAGACTACATACAATGACGGCAATCGAATGTGCAGGAAGGCAGCTTCCACACCTGCGTAGGATATTGCACCCATTCAACACACATGGGCCGGGATCATCGGCTTTACTTCCCTTCCGAAGGAAGACGTGACTAGAGATTTTTATGCCTCAGAAAAATCCCACCGACCTCGGCTGGTATTGAACCCAGACCCAGCAGTCACGCTTACCACTACACCACCGGCGCCGGCGACCTCATGCATGTAGCAAATGAAATTTTGATTGCCTTTATTTTTGAACACGCCGGTAAAGTACACAGACTCCTCCCATCATGAGTAGTTTGCTATCAAGTAGCGACACTGGCTCCTCTCCTTTTTTCCTCTCTGTACTTTAAGTCTATACTCTATGTACTCTGTATTATTTAACGGTTCGGACGATTTCGAAGATGTCGCGCAGCAGGAGAATGCAACGATGAGGGTTTCTCAGTTTATGAAAGTGAAACGGAATAATTTCAACCCACCGATAAGACTACAAATACCTAGAACATAATTTATTTCCCTAACAAATTATTTGATTTTTGTATCATTTTGATGTATTTAGTGACAAATTGAATGGGTTAATCATGGGTTACTCTATATAAATTCTATTCTAACTCTTTTCTGAAATGAACTTGGGGCCCTAAAATTGGCCGTTTTGTTACGTTGGTGATAAGTTTTAACCCCCGAAACCATACAGAGTGCGTCCCTGTCGCTTCAGAATGTAGACGACATCCATGGCCGTGACGGTTTTGCGCTTGGCGTGTTCAGTGTAGGTGAAGGCATCACGGATTTTTCTAGGAACACCTTCAGTACACCTCAGTACGCTTGACACCACCACGTCGAGCCAGACGACGGATGTCAGGCTTGGTAATATCCTGGATGTTAATACGCAGAACTTTCCGATGACGCTTGGTGCCTTCTTTTCCAAGAGCTTTGTCTCCCTTGTCATTTGTCGTTAAACGGGTGAATCGAAACTAAGCCAAAAGTGTAGTTAGCAACTTGTTATATAGACAACCAGCTCTGCCGGTACCATATTTTCTCGCTTCCCATTGGCTACATACAGTCATGATGATGCAGCTTTGTCGATTTTTGGGAAATTCTGCGTAATAACATCCAGGGCCTGCCATCCGTCGTCTGGCTCGACGTGGTGGTGTCAAGCGTATCTCCGGTCTGATCTACCAGGAAACCCGAGGTGTGCTGAAGGTGTTCCTAGAAATTATGATCCGTGATGCCGTCACCTGTACTGAACACGCCAAGCGCAAAACCGTCACGGCCATGGATGTCGTCTACGCTCTGAAGCGGCAGGGACGAACTCTGTATGGTATCGGAGATTAAAACTTATCACCAACGTAACTTGGTGGCCCTGAAAAGTTAGAAGTAATTTCAGAAAAGAGTTTGAATAGAATGTATATAGAGTATCCTCTGCTTCCAAGTTTGGTTACAGGATTACAACTCTGGAGAGCAGCGGCACCGGTGGTGTAGTGGTAAGCGTAATTACCTCTAACTCAGGTATGCGTAATTACCTGGGTTCAATCCCAGTCGGCGCCACTGGGATGATCTGAGGCATAACATCTCTGATCATGCCTTCATTCGGAAGGGAAGTAAAGCCGTTGGTCCCCGGTTCATGAGTTGATAGGTAGGGTTCAGGTGTGGGTAGCAATGGTGCTCAGCACGGAAAACAAATCCAAGGAAAAAAACGGAGAACATTTTGTGTTCTGAATTGGCAGCAAAATGTTCCGCAATTGCATCCTCCCTATTCGTACACGCCCGAAGATCAGAGGCGAATGTCACTTCGACTTGTTTCATCTAGGAACCATTATCTGATGACTGTGTTGGGGAAGCAGCACATGCATGTACGTAATTGGTAGATTTGTTAGTTATTTTGAAGCTTTTGGACAATGCTTGAAATTTACCACTTTTTCAATAGTTTTAATTTGAAAATCAACAGTCAAAAGCATTGTTATCGGTGCGTAGAAATGTTTCTGATCGATTGGTGATAAAATGTTTGAAATTGGTCCAGCGGCAGCTAAGTTATTAACGTTCAAAATCTTTCATAATTTCATCTGCCGGTTTTCAAGTGCACCCCCATCTTCCCGAAAGACGTAGTCCTACG